ACCCCTCAAGGGTCTCCCTGCCATTTGGTTGACCTCCCGCCTGCACCCCTTCCAACTCTACGGGGTTCAATTTCTGATGGGGAAATCCAGGACTCCCCTCCTAGGGTGAGATCACCGACACCCATGCCTGCGGTGACGATGGAAACGGACGTTGGCCTGTCTCCACCAGGGAGCCGGAGGAGCCACTCGGTAGAGCAACACCCGGAGAGTTGGCGTCGCCCTTATTACCATACTTGGGGCGATCCGCTCTCTGTAGGGTACTACCCTGCTCCCAGGGCATGATCATCTCCTCCACCCCGCGACCAACTGCGATCAGTGGATTCGAGGTGGGTGCCACCTCGATCCCCACAAAGTGGAAGCAGCCGCTCCTTCTCGCCGGCAGAGTTGTCATCTTCGGCCCCACCCTACTACGGTGCCGATTCGGCTGACTCAGAGGTCGACTCAACCTCCCCGAACGTCGCTGTGACATCCCAGGGTCCTGCGTCACCCGACGAATCCCATGTCTCCTTTGCGGAGCTGATGTCAAGACTTGTCCAGTCCCTGGACATCGACGCTGCCCAGCACCCGGGACCGTCGACGGACAAGTTTTACGACGTCGTCCGCGGGGAGCAATTGACATCTATCGTTCTGCCGCTTATAACCACCTTGCGGCAGGCGATGACGCAGCACTGGGACCTGCCATCACATCCTCAGCCGACGTCCAGGAGGTATGAGTCAATGTACAGGGTTCGGGAAGAGGATATTCCCTTCCTCCTCAAACACCTGAAACCGAACTCTGCGGTCGTCGAATCCTCACAGGGCAGAGAGGCGAGAGGACACATGGCACCGAGAGATAAAGAGGGCCGAAAATAGACTCCCTGGCCAGGCGAGTCTATGCTGCTTTGGGCATGGGGCTTCGCATATCAAATTATGAGGCGACGTTGGCGAGATATCAATATTTTATTATGCAGCGCCTCCACAACATCGCCTCCACCCTCCCAGACCACCAGGGTGGTCTCACGAAGGTCCTGATCAAGGAAGCCATGCAGGTCACAGTGCAGCAGTTATCCACGGCAAGGCACCATGTGGATACTGACTCCCGGGCCTTGGTCGGTGCCGTTTCGCTTCGGAGGCATGCATGGCTCCGGAATTGTAATTTCCCGGAAGAAACCAAGCGGCGGATAGAGGAAATGCCTTTCGATGGATCCGGGCTTTTCCATTCTCGAACCGACCATAAGCTTAAGAAGCTCCATGAATTGAGGATGACGGCACGCAGGATGGAGATCCAGTCTCACGCCAGACGTAAGTGGTCCTGGAATTGTCCATCCTACAGGCAATCCTATCAACCGAGGCAGCAGCCTCAACACCGCCAGCAGCAACAACAGCAGCGCCGCCGTCCTCAGCCCCAACAGCGTTTTCAGCAGGGCCGCCGTCGTTTTGACGATCGGCAGCAATGCTGACGGGACTGGCGAACCATTCCTCACACTCCTTCAATACCCACCCCCCTCTCATTTGGGGATTGGCTTCGAAGCCGACTCCCCATTTGGGAGTCCATCACATCTGACCGGTGGGTATTATCCATTGTTCAACACAGCTATCGAATAGAATTCGACATCGTTCCTCCATCTAGTCTGATCCAGTCTATTGTATGCTCACCGGTACTCCTCGACGAAATACGTCAACTTCTTCATAAAGGAGCGATTCATCAAGTATTTCCATCTGACGGACTTCACGGATTCTATTCCAGATACTTCACGGCCCCTAAGCGGGATGATGGTCTACATCCGATTTTGGATCTACGGAACTTAAATACGTTTATTGTACCGAGAAAGTTTCATATGACTACCCTTCAAAACATTTTGCCGTTGTTAAGGAGAGAGGATTGGTTCGCCTCACTGGACTTGAAGGACGCCTACTTCGACATTTCAATTCACCCAAATTACAGGCGTTTCCTTCGTTTTGCGCTTGCAAATCAACTTTATGAGTTTACAATTTTACCTTTTGGACTGGCTACGGCTCTGAGAGTTTTTACCAAGTGCATGGCTCCTGTCCGTGCCTTCCTACGCCTTCAGGGCATATAAATTTATCTGTACCTCGATGACTGGCTGTTGGTCTCACAGTCCAGAGAAGGACTCTTGGTGGCCATCCGTAAGACCTGTACCTTACTAGATGACCTAGGCCTACGTATTAATACAGAGAAATCTTCTCTTCTTCTGACACAGACGCTCACCTTCATCGGAGCCCGCTTGGATTCGACGTTGGAGAAAGCTTTCCTCCCGCAAGACAGACAGCAGACTCTTGCTCGCCTTATCCATCGAATCCGACAAGAGGGACGGTCACGGCAAGGTCTATCCAGAGGGTCCTGGGACATATGGCGTCCTCAGTTGCCGTGGTTCCACATGCCAGACTTCGGCTTCACCCACTACAACTATTTTTCAACAGGGTGTATCACCCTCAAAGAGAGCCACAGTCCAAACTGATTCGGATCCCATCTTCCGTGCTCCACTCTCTGCGCTGGTGGCTGAAACCGACCAATCTTATGATAGGAGTCCCCTTCAGGGCGCGACCTCCTACGATAACCCTCGGCACCGACACGTCTCTCCTAGGATGGGGAGCGATAAGCTCTGGCTTATCTACCCAGGGTACGTGGAATCGTCTAGAATCCACGAATCATATCAACTTCCTGGAGCTACTGGCCACTCGAAGAACATCAGTTACAGGTAAGCAACCTGCTTTTTCAGTGTCCCTGGGTCCACAGTGAACAAGAGGGTGACAGACATTTGTTGAGCTTTCAGTGCTGAAAATAGAAAATCCAGCTGTGAACTCAGAATTGAACCCTGGACAAATTAGACATGTTCCATGGTCAATAAGAAAAAGAAGCAGAAATCAAATAGGCAGTCTTTTATATTAACAAAGGTGGAGGCAATTTGTACTGGGCAAAAGAAAGCCAATAAAAAGAAAACAGTATAGCTTAACCTAGTCGTTGGAGGGGATACACCTTACCCGAGGGAGAGCCTTCTCTGCAGCAGCACCCCAATTGTGGAACATGCTCCCTGGAGAGGTTCGTCTGGTGCCAACGCTTCTATACTTTTGGCATCAGGCAAAACCCTTTTTATTCTCCCAGTATTTTAATTGTTAATTTGTTTTAGTGGTGGGTTTATATTTTAACATTGGATGCTGGGCAATTGTTATTGTTATTTTTAATTTTTTGGACTAATTTGCTGTAAACCATCCTGAGACTTTTAAGTATAGGACAGTATAGAAAAGTTTTAAATAAATAAATAAATAATAAAGTTCTGCCTTCGGTTCATATAAAATCATACTCCGTCAGTGTAGGGTTGAATGGCTAAATTTGGTGTTCTTCAACTCAGAATACCAAAAGAGCAAAGGTAGCTGTGTTTGCACAACAATATTACACTTAATATGGATTTTGCAATTTTTCTAATGGTCAACACTTGTTTTACACTAAATTGGATGGTATCTTGAATCTCAAACAATAGTTTCCACTCTAAACAATTAATTATAGGCTGTAGTAAGAGACTGAAAACAGGACCACATGAGTCCAAGTTGTTCTTATGGTAGACTAATTGTGGATTGCCTCAAGGATGTGATAGAACAGTGCTCGGTATGTGAGAGGGAATACAGAATCACCACTGTATTACTGTGTGGTATGACATAGAGAGAGTTTAAATGTAGCAACCCTATCATTCCAAATTATGACCTTCCTTACTGGCAAATAATGAAGGCAGCACTGTTTCTAACTGCATACATTTTATGATTTTCATTTTAAAGAGATTTCATTCCATATGAAATACCATGTGCTTTAATAGAGTTATGCACAGAGTGTCCTGTGCTTACAATGACAAACCAGAACAGGTCTGAACATTAGCAGTCAGAGCAGGATAGGACAAGGTTTTTTATTTTTTGTAAGCTGTCCAGAGACTTATTTATTTATTTATGTAGGAAGCTTCTATGCTGCCCCATTCACCGAAGCCTCGGAGTGGCTCACAACAAGCTTTTTAGTATTGGACAGCATATAAAAACGTTAAATAAATAAAGGCACCAAAATTGTAATAAAGCTGAGCATGAATATTAACTATGTCTTACTTTCCATAGACAATTAGACCTCTATATTTATGAAGAGTCACCCTCAATGACAAACTTTTACCAGATCAAACTAAGCAAAACTATAGAGATATAATGTTTATTAAATGTTGGGCATGCATTTTTCCAACATAATTTTGTGGGAGAGCTACTGAGGAGGAATTGTACAAGCAGCTAAGATGGGCATTTGGTATGTATATGTTGTGCTATTAGAATTACTGCTGCTATTTATATGTAGGGTTTACTCATATGATGCAAACCACATCTGGGAATACAAGCACGTTAAAGCATGACAAAATAAACTTCTAAAGGTTTATTGTGTTTTATCTTGTGATTGTTAGCCGCCCCTAGGTGCTTTGGCACAATTGGGCGGCATACAAATGTTTTAAATAAATAAAAGGATCCCCGACCATTTTGAAAAAGTTTCTATTCTAAGAAACACCAGATCCCCAGAGTCTGAACACTCAGAAAGATTGCACTACAGTAGTTCGGGATACAATATTGCGGTGTCCGTAATGGGGTGCGCGTGGGGTAGGGATTGTCTCTTCCTCGTCTTATTCCTCCTCGCTTCGCCATCGTGGCGCGTCCAGCTCTGTTCGGTCTTCCCCTTTCGCCTGTAGGAGGGGCACGTACTGGAAAAGTCGGCGAAGACTTCAAAGGAGAGGGCCACTCCCTATGTTTGGAAGCGGAATCACGGCTTCCTGCCCCATCTCTTTTGGTGGAGTTGGGAGGAAGCACGTCCTTACGTTTCCTCGCTTCCGTCGGTTATTCGCACCCCTTTTCAGTGACCGCCTGCCCAAGGCGGGATGCGTCCCAATTCCAGCCACTCCCTCAGCAGTGAGCCAGCTGGGGGCCACCGGGACAATCCCTCCTCCTCCTCCGTTTTCCTCCTCAGCCCGCCCAGCCACCCACTCTCTTCCATCTAACTAGCTTGTGCCCATATATCTGCTAGGAGAGACGCACAATTTCTCTATTTTTTTATTTTTTTTCCTGGAAGGGGACGCCTGTGAATGGCATATTGTGCCGGCGGCGGGTAAGCGCCACGGCTTTTGGGTGCGTGCCGTTCCTGAGCATTACGACACCCATTCCTGGTTCCTTTGACTGTTCTCCGGCGGCGGCGGGCGGCGGCGAGAAAGGCAAGAGAAGTGCTTTCGCTTGTGCAGCCATGGCCGAGCGCCGCGCCTTCGCCCAGAAGATCAGCAGGTAAAAGAGCGCGTCGGAGGCGCGCCTGCCAGGAGGATAATCTCGGCTGGCTTCGCCGGCGGAAGAAAGCTGGAACTTCGTCCCTTCGGCGAAACGCGCCAGGGGCCTAGCAAGGGTGGGAGATGTCTCCTAGCCCAAACCATCTCCTCGGGGGCAGCCCACGCATCCTTGCTCGATTATGCTGCAGACTTGCTTCGTGGGGGAAGGCTTGAGCTTGCTTGTTGTGTGGCGCTTTTGTGCACGTCTGGTCCTGATCCGCCAGTGTGCGCCCACTCTGTCTTTCCGGGTTGTGCGTGCTGCTGCGGGCCAGCTTGATGGATGTGCTTTCGCTTGCTTTATAGAAGGCATTGTGTGCGGCATGACCCATCTTCTCCCCAAACACACATGCAGTCTGCAAGCACCTTCTGTGACACACATCGCGCTTCGGCAGGGGGCGGGGTGTATGTCTTACGGGTTTGCTCCGCGACCTCGGAGCATGTCCATGTGAGTGCGGCCCCACGATGTGGAGTCTTTGTGATGCCTCGAGATATGGCATTGGAGGGGCGGGGTGCTTGGTGTGTTTGCGATGTGTTTTGCGGGGGGAGGGTTGTTCATGGTATTGCTCTGCAGCAAGCGCTGCTCATATCCATGTGGCTTCTTAATGTGCTGTGGTCTGGTTTGAAAGCTTGGATGCATCCCCCCTCCCCCTTTGTTTTTGCATTTGCGGAATGCTGTCCAGGTGCTCGGTACAGGCATGTAGGCCCTCTTGGTGATGCATTGTTCTCTGGATCTGTGGATTATGTGTGGGGAGGGGGGAGTGGCATTAGGTTTTTATGCCTACCATGTTCATGTCTGCAATAAACTGCACAGTTTATGATATTGTGCATGTGTTATGGGTGTGCTTTGAAATGAAGGGCTGGATGCATTTTGCTGTAAGGGGAATTTGAGGTTGGATTCTTGTTGATGTGTAGAATACATAATTATGTCCTGTCTGCTGTGTAGCATGACAGGTCCCTTTTCCTTCTAATTTCATAGTATAGATTGGATGGCAGAAGGCAATTGTGATGTTCCAGGGTTCTGCAAAACCCTCCAAAATTGTTTGCTTTCTTGCATGCCTGCTTAAACTGTCACACTGCTAGTTCCAGTGACACTTCCCTCAAGTTCTTTCTTAGTCAATGAAATGTGGAAGAAGCCCAGGATTCTAGGATAAGATCCAGCTTCTGCATTATTTATACACCTGCTTCCCTCCTTTTACAGCTAACTTCTTAATGTTTGTAATTTAACAAGGAACTGCTTGGTTTCTTTAGAAATTGAAATTCTTGCCAATTTTTCTTTAGTAGTATTGACCACACTTCTGTTTGAAGAAAATCTAAAAAACAAAACAAACAAAAAATCCACCCTTAATTTTTTTCCCCCAAACATATTTGAGGATGTATGACAATTCCATTGCAGGGCAAGTAAAAACTGGATGTATATTTCTAGTTTGGTGATAGATTTTGTTCCTTTTCACACCTCTCCTCCTGGTGTTGACTTGACCAGTAAGTGAGTCATACTAGAATACTAGTTCCATGTTTTTTTTAATAGTGGTAAATTGTTCAATTTTATTTTATTGTTTGTGGGGTGGATCTCGGAATGTGTACAAATGATGTTTTAATTTTTATGCATTTTTTAAAAAAGAGTGACCATGAGTGAGGGCACACAATCACAAGTCCTCCTGTGTGTTATGTTGCCCAGCAGAGCCACACTCCCTACTTGTTGAAGATTTTAGTTCTATCCTACACTTTAGCACTTTTTGAGCAAAGGAGATGAAGGCTACAAATTTGACAAGTTTTTTGACACCTGCAGAAACAGAGTATAGAGGATGAAATTAACGTGGTTTTTGACAAGTGGGGAATGCACCTTTGTGGGGCTACATAGCAGACAGGAGGACTTGTGCTGGTGCACACTTATGCAAGATTACCAATCAACTTCTAAAAATTAAGACAGTAGTTGTGCAAATTTCACATCCCCCATGTGTATTTTTTTTCTGTAATACAGAAAGATTGGGTACAGTCCATTGTTGCTTACCAGAATGGAAAATCTGTGAAATTGTGTTGAGTTTACATGGAACAGAATTCCATGGAAGAGCCTCTGAAATATTTTGTATGATGAAGTTCACCTCTTCTCCTACAGAAGGTGTTGCCTCACAAACTCTGTACTGGATCCATCTGTGCTTCCTTAATGTACCCTTTTCCATTCATTTATAGCATTTCTATTTCACTTTTCAGGCAGAGATCCCAGTTTGAACCCTCTACAATGCAATTATTTGCATTTTTACTGAAATGGTAGTCCCATGGTCCTCAGCAAGACTGGTTCCCAAAGGGTGCAGTCTGATGGAGGTTCAGAAAGAAAAAAGGCTTACAGCCTGCAGCATTCCTCATCCAGCATTTTTTCCCATAACCACTAATTCCAGATTAAATTGGAAATAACATTGTTTAGTGCTGCCTTTTCATCTTTATTCCAGAAGACAGTTACAGAGCTATACAAACGAGACCTGCAACAAAATGTGGAATGCCCTAGTTCCTGTTCAATGCTTTAACCACTCATGTCATCAGGATACTGCATTCCATTCCTGACCTTTCCTGGGCTGCAATTTTCATTCTCTGCTCCCTATTCCTGTCTCAACAGACAGTGTTCTGTGATCATTCACTGTGTGTCAGTGGGTTTCTTTTTGGGGGGAAATTGCCTTCCTGTTTCTAGTGCCTTTTTCCTTCTAAAGATTAGTTGTACTCATATAAACTTTAGTGTTGCCTTAAACATGTGGCTTCCTCCTTCATTTCACAGTGGCTCCATTTGACTGTAGTACTCTACAGCTGAGTTCGCTATTAGTGGGGGTTGTAGTGAGAAAGGAATTGGGATACAACACAGCAGGAGGTTCTCCCATGTCCCTCCCATTTATTTCATTAGAACAAAACAGGAAATGTTCTCAATGCATCGTACCTATGGAAGCAGCTCTGCAGATAAGTAGATGGGTCCAGATACGTGCCTTCCCTGCCTTCTCTTTCATACAGCAGCCCCTCCAGCTTTATGAACATGCTGCACAGGAAGTCGGGATACCTTGCTGCTGTACTGAGCTGTGTGTCTGGGGGGATGGTCAATCTCCTAAAATCAGGCAGTGCATTGAAGGAAAAACCTGGATCCAACCCATGGTGCCTCCCATTATTTAAAGCAAATTCCACTGAAATAAGAAGGCCTTCATGTGTTGAGGATTAGACTTGCAAGCAAGTGATTTTTTCTGATAGCTAGGAGCGCTTACGTCCTTATGTGCCCGCCTGCCCCTTGAGATCAGCGGGAGAGGCCCTTCTCCAGGAACCCTCATTGAAGGATATTAGGAGGGTAAGTACTCGGAGGAGGGCTTTCTTTGCGGTGGTGCCCAATATATGGAATGCGCTCCCAGAGAGGTCCGCCTGGCGCCATTGTTATTTGTTTTTTGGCGCCAAGCGAAGACCTTTTTATTTAAACATCATTTTAATTGCTAATATTATTTATTTATTTTACATCTTTGGCCAGGACGTCTCCAATTATATTGTTTTTATATTGTTATTATTTATTTATTGTTGTGAAGTGCCCCAAGGCTTTGGCGAATGGGGCGGCATAGAAGCTTTCTAAACAAACAAACACTGAGTTTAGGTATCTGAAGATCACAAGTTGGAATTCTATGCATACAGGCCTAAATATCAATTCTATTAAAATGAATGAAGCTTACTTGTAGCCACTCCAGATTTGCTGACCTTCAGATTTGTTTGCCCCAACATTCCCAGACAGCAGTGTCAGCACATCAGGAGAACATCCAGTTGGAGAAAGCTGCACTAGTGGATCTAAAGAAACTCTACTGTTCTTCAAAGCACTGAGTGATTGATCAGTCGTTTTTGTTAATGTTCTTACTTCTCTCACTTGATGGCAGTTGCACATGGACCAAACTTTGTCCAGTGTAACAATAGCTATTCAGAAGACAGCAGCAAAAAGAATCCAATACTCGCCCTTTCTGAGTGGCAAGCTGTGGCAGCAGTGGCTGAAATTATTCACGCTGGAGAGAGCATTCCGGAGGTGAAGTAGGGGAAAGAAGAGTGTCACTGACTTCAGGGTAGAAGAGACAGGAATATAAGGGCTGCATTTCATCACTGCATAATAGTTTTGTCTTTCTAATTTGAAGTAGTAGCAGAAAATAAGACAAATACAGCCCAATTGGGCAAATTGGGAGATGGGGAGAGGAGAGATGGCTCAGTGGGAGCTGACTGGGAGCCATGCCATGCCAATTTGAGTGTTTTGTTCTTCTGTTGGCATTTTTTGTTGCTCAGTTTCTGATTGTATTGGAGAAATTTCATTGTTTTGGTATTGTGTTTGGAAATAATACCGAATACTGTATTATGTGTATGGTGCATTTTGGTTCTGCCTCAGTGGTCCTTGAGGTGTTTTCCTGTTTTTGCTAGTCCTCAGTTGTGGAAAGGTTGAAAACCACTGTGGTAAAGGGTTGCTGTGGGCACCCTTCCTCAAACCTCATATCCTCTGAAATAATTGGACTATACCTGGGGTGGCCAGACTTGCTTGACAGAAGAGCCACATGTGGCAAATGCCAGAAGTTTGAGAGCTGCAAGTGGGCACCCACAGCAAGTGCTGCAGTTGGTGAGCAAGAACAAGCCACATACTGCAACAGTCTAGAATTATGGGTTTGGACGTCACAGTCAATAACCCAGGCACACAGTTTCCATGGGTTGTTTAGCTCAGTGAAAGCCAATGATTAGGCCCAGCTCATTCTTGCTCCTGTTTCATTCTGAACAAGTCTTTGACACCCTGAAGGTGGAGAGAGCTTCAGCTATTGAGTGGTATGGATATAAATTTGGATTTGTGTTTTCCAAATTGTATTTTCTTAGATGCAGATGTGGCTTACAAAAGTTTTAATTTTTTAAAGAAAAAGAGTAAAATGTACAACAAAGCACTTTGGTGGATGTGCGGGGAAGGGGTATGGAGAAAATTATTGGCTG